CAGAACTCCCAAATAAGGAAGCTTCTGGATCCTGTTCCCTCTTATATCCAGGTGTGTGAGCGAGGCAAAGCGGAATATGTTGTCAGGAAGTGCCTGTATGAGATTATCATTCAGGATGAGCACTTTTAGCTTGTGCAGTTTGTTAAATGCTCCCTTTTCAATGTATTTTATCAAGTTGTAGTCAGCCTGAAGGTATTCCAAGTTCTCTATCCCTAGGAAAGTGTCTGCTCGCAGCACCTTTAACTCATTATTGTTCAGGTGCAACTGTTTCAACGCGCTCATCCCCATGAACGCTCCACCTTCGATGTTCTGCAGTTTATTGTTCCCCAGCTGCAGTGACACAGCGTGGGTGAAGTTGAGGAACGAGTTTGGGTAGAGTATGATTAAGAAGTTGTTCTGGAAGTTCAGGTGGTAGAGGGACGAGGGCGGCGGGATGAGCTGCGTGGGTCGATAGACAGTGATCTTCTCACAGTTGGCGTACAGCACGTTTTCCACCGACATGCAGGAGCAGGCGCTGCAGGTCTCGGCCATCAAGTCCGAGGCGGACGGGTCTGCCATCTGGGGTCCGTCCGACATGGAGGGGGAGGAGAGGGAGGAGGAGAGGGAGCCGGAGATGGAGGAAGAAAAGGCTGCCAGCAGGAGTACGAGCAGCATCTCGCCGGTTAGAAATCCTCCCCCAGAAAACCATTTAGTAACCTTTGGAGAGAAAAAAAAAGACAGGTGCATGCACAAACGTTCACACACACACAGTGTGCAAAGAAGCCCGAGACACATGTGTGCGCACACAGACAGACACACACATACACACACAGAAAGCAAACCATCAAAATGCATACTTGACATTGATTTAACTAAAATATTTAATTTTTTAAACATGAAACCACATCAGGTATCATACTATTATCTTTTGATGTCTGTGGAACAATATGCAAATTTTAATTTCTAATTTTAATTTCCAGTTTTACAGGAATCATTGCGGTGAGTTGCTTTGGCTTTGACACAATGATTCACCCCAGTGATTAGACAACACAAATGTTTGATGCAGATTATTCCATACTGCAGGAAAAGTAGCATATGCTCTGAGAAAAACTCAAACCCATGAACTGCTGCACATCTATGCATCTTATTCCGACACCCAAAGCTGTGAAGCACCGTCTTGGACAATGTCTAAGACAGCAGCACGACTATATTCTTCACCTCTCAGCATAATTCAGCATAATCAAAGTCAAACGGCTGCAGCTCTCTTTATCGTGGGGGTCTCATTTGGAGCCAGCAGCAGCAGCCGCACTACCACCGCCACTGAGCAGCGCATTCAGGTTATTTAGGAAAGCAACTGTGAGAGCGACGGGAAGAGGAAGAATTGGGACTGTGCCCATTGCTGACATATTGAGAGGGTTTGAGCGGCACGCATTTATCACACGGAGAACATTTTGTTTTCTCCACATTTGACACCAAATAGAAAAATAAAGAAAAATGTTGCTTAATTCCTAAAATTAAAAAATCAGGTCATTTCAAAGGAACACGGATGAAGAAAAATTAGACTTACCCAAAGCTGGGGTGGTAATGAATGCGGCTCCCTCTGGAGACACGGGGCAGCATTGGTGAGACATGGATGGAGACGTGCGCAAACAGTCCTCCCAGCTGAAGTAGAACGCAGACAGTTATAGGGGCGCAACAAGGTTTCTCCAGCCCCTATATCCCCATGTAGGCTACTGTATATCAACCCGAGCCAAGCAAACTGGCGGGGGTGCGGGTGGAGATGGAGAGAAAGGAGGAGGAGGGGAGGAGAGGAGGGGGGGAGCTCCGATTTCACCCGATGCGTCTCTTGCTGACGGGCTCCTCTTGCTTGGAAAAATCACCCCTCTGGTCGTTCGGTCCCCAAGGTGGTTGTACTACCTCCATGGGAGAGCATTCATTTGGTTGCAGGAGAGATAGAGAGAGACGGCGAGAAAGGAGAGAAGAGGAGAGAAAGGGAAAGACACAGAGAGAGAGAAAGACAGAGAGAGAGAGAGAGAGAGAAAGGGAGAGGCAGACAGCTTTTAGAGATCTTGACAGCGCGTCCGGCGACTCCAAGGCGTGAAAAAAGGCGCAAGGCGGTCGTTGATGCGGTGAAATAAGTCCATCATTCTTGGAGTTTTTTTTTTTTTTAAAGAGGGGGAACTGGAGAAGGAGGATGAGCGGAGGAGAGGAGAAAATGGGAGAGATAGAGAGAGAGAGAGAGGGTGGCCAACACTGTGCGTCTGGCTTCAGCTCGGCTCAGCAACCCCCAACGATCCAATGAATAAATACTGGTTTGTTTCGAGCGAAGTTGCGCACAGGGATAATGCTTCAGAGGGCGAAAGCAGCCAAAACGCTCCCATCAGGTTATGTGTATCAGTCCGTTATTTTCCATTGAGGCAGCATAAATCCACTTCTTTGCTCTGACCCCGTGCAAACAGTTATTTTCTCTTCAGTTTATTCGCACACAGCGGCAGAAGAGATGCTTATATCAGTCTCCATCCAACAGGATTTTTTTTTTCTTTTAAAGGACGGGTGTGGAAAAAAAAGAAAGAAGAAGGGCTATGGCGATATCGACGCTCCTCTCCCGGACGAAAAGAAAAGCGGAAAAGCACAGAGAGAAACAAGAGAGACAAGTCAGGACAACAGAAACCGGTGCGTAAAAATGAATAATGCAGTTATTCAGCCTTTAGTCCGCTGCGGTGCAAGTGAGGAGCTGGAAACTCCGCGCTCCCATCGGTCCACAGAGGGAAATGTCACGAAAATAAACTTGTAGAGGGAGTGTGAGGGTTTCTTTTTGAGGCCAAAAAAATATCCAGTTGGAGGAAATGGAAGGAGTTAAAAAAGAAGAGGAAAGCGAGCTTGTGTTTCTCCCTCCTGTAAGACAGAACAGTATCCGTGTCAGGCGCATAAGTATGCTGGCTCCTTCTGCAGCCGCATTCACTGAGCTTCCCACACGACTAAAAGAGGAGAATGCAGAGATGTGGGGAGGGGGAGAGAGAGAGAGAGAGAGAGAGAGAGAGAGAGAGGAGGAGGGAGAGAGGAAAGGAGAGAGAGGGAGGGAGGGAGGAGAGGGGTCTCTCACATAGACCGAAACGAGAAGAAGAAAAAAAACTTAAGACCTTGAAACAGATCCGTTATTTTGAGCGCGCTCTGTAATGCCTTTATTTCTGACACTTTATTATGATCTTCTAATTATCCTGCATTTTTTTAACATTTTAATACAAAGGCTGTTTTATACTTTTTCTTGCATATGTAACCTCCAAAGGGATCACGATCAAAGCTGATGAAAAGCAGGATGGGAGTGTGTGTGTGTGTGTGTGTGTGTGTGTGTGCGTGTGTGTGTGTTTGGAGGATGTTAAAAAAAGCTTTACCTGCCAAATCGTCGCATTGGACTTGACTTGCGCGACACGGCCTGGGCGCGCTCCCGATGTCCGATCGGAGGAGAGAGGGAGGGAGAGAGCGAGTGTGTGTGCTTAAAACCGGGCACGGGGGCGCGCCTTGTGAGCGGCATTTTAAATAGAAGGGAGAGAGAGGGAGGAAAGGAGGAGGAGAAGGAGAGGGGGTTATTATTCAAGAGTGCTGCAGTCAGACGGGCTGCAAGAGGGGGGAAAGGAGAAGGAGGTGGGAAATCAGTCAGTCAGAGGCTTATGCGGTTCACATTTTTCCTCTCTTTTTGTGTTTTGCAGGAGAGAACTGATCGGAGCAGAGAGGAGAGATGAGGAGATGGATGGAGCAGTGGAGAGGTAGGAGATGAGCGCCTTAAGGTGCGGCTGCACCCCCTGCTTCTAATATCATTTTCTCCAAAATTGCATAAGCTCCTTAAAATGACTGACAAGATCTCTTCATCTATATATCTCTCTATCTCCCGGTCTATCTCTCTGTTTATTTATTCATGTGAGATGAGTCCCCGGAGCTGAGTTTAGTGGCGGCGTGGCGCAGCGCCACGCGCTCTTGTTGTCCGTACAGCTGACACCCATGGGAGAAAAGGGAGTCCGACCTGAAACCTGACAGTGTTCGGCCCTCACCGGAAGCCTCACCTCTGGTTTCCTCTTGCAACAGGTGACAGAGCCAAGTGACGCACATATAAAGGCAGGCTGGAGAAAGGGAAGATGGGAAGTGTGGATGTCACGAGCCCGGCCCCGCGGCATGGTTGGATTTGTTTAATGTTATGATGATGATGCAGCGGTGAGGGTGGATGTTACCTTGTGTCAAATGATTACAAGGTTTCTCTTAAGGGAACAAAGTGGTGAATGTGTGCAGGGTGGATTCATCTCGACACAATTTCAAAATGAAATGTGTGATGAATATTTAACATAGTCATAATTAAGTTATTAAAAGCATAATTTATTTATGATTTTGCAACCAAAACCTGGACATGTAAGTGTCTTCTCCCTTCTAACGTGTCACAACACAACATTTGGCAAATCATACATTTCTAATATTTGATTTTGAACATTTATTGGAATATATTAACTCTAACCATGTTCTACCTATATTATTCATCAACGCTACTTTGCCAAATCTTCATCTTCTTATTTCAGTTCCAAGTGACAGCAAAAACATTATTTTATGTCCAAGTCTCAGCATTTGTGTTTGATTGTATACATAGTTTCACCTAATACCTAGTACGTTTTATTGTGCAGTACCCAAGGACAAATTCAGCGCACAGGAAAGAGTTATTTTCAGCACATTTTTCAAAGAAGGTTGGTGCGTCATGTTAAAGGAGTGAATGTCTGGTGCTTGTCGGTATGAATTTATAGTTGTAAACAGACACAATGATTGGAGATGCATTCACTGCCTTTTCTTAGAGCTTTCAAAACTGGAAAAACCTAGTTAGTAGACATTAAATTGTTTTGTCAAACTGCTATTCTTTTTAAGATATTTTTTGGGGGCTTTTTAGCCTTTATTTGATAGGACAGACAAGCGTGAAAGGGGGAGAGAGAGAGGGAGTGACATGCAGCAAAGAGCCACAGGCTGGAGTTGAACCTGGGCCGCTGCGGCAACAGCCTTGTACATGGGGCGCCTGCTCTACCACTAAGCCACCGACACCCCATCAAACTGCTATTCTTGACGTCAACATTAACTTTCCCATTTAACAAACTAAGCGACTGCTCTGTCAGCCTTCAAAAAAGTTTTGTGCATAATCACAACACAAACGCTCCTGAATGCACCATGTTGTGTTGAAAAGTTCTTTTTGAGCACTGGCGTAGATTTCAGGAGGGACGCAGGGACACGCATTTGTCCCCCAACACTAAAAACACGAAAGTAGCAGAGAACATTTGCACCATAAAGTGATGCAGAAAATGCACACATTGGTGCATAAACATTCACCAGAATGCAGGAGGTCAAGAGTTCAGTGCTCAAAATTTTCCGATGGATACCAAAAATTCCTGTTTCCTATTTGTCCCCTTTATACGTTGAAATTAAACCTACACTCAAGAGCATGCAACACGCCTATAGTGCCTTTTTTCCATGTGAGAAAATGAAAAATACTTGCTACACAGTGCCACTCTGTTGCATTTTGTGTGTGTGAAATCATATTACTCTTATAATGTGATGCATTTCACTGCAGGGGTTAATTCTCCTGTAACCTTTACATTAAAAGGTGATAATTGTGTGCAGGAAAGTGTATAATTGAACATAATGTGTTATCTTTAACCCAAAGTGGATTAATTTCCTGTTTTAAACACAAATTATGACAGACAATAATCCATGGCACAAAAGAACATACACATTAAGGCAAGTGTGATGTCTGAATAGTGAATTTTAACTGCGTTTGTGATGATTTTGCAGTTGTCTCCCTTTGATACAATCCCCTCCACTCCACGGAGCCAGCTGGTAATTAAGGACCCTTCAAACTGTAAGTTATCATGTTTTGATAGAACATTCAGCCTCAATTATTTCTCATTCATCTGAAACCGCCGGTCTTATAATACAATTTATTCTAAAGTATTCATGAAAAAAGCAAAAGGCTCACTCGCTCGCTTGATTGATTCACAGTGATGTACGCAAACTGGGGTGTGGTTGGGTTCTTCTCAAGTGTCTCCGCCACCTGCACGAAAGGAGCAAATCAAGCATCCCTCCTCAAGTCTCTCCAGTGTGTGTGTGTGTGTGTGTGTAGATTAATGTGTGTGTGTATGAGTGTGCTGATATTTGACAGTCTTGGACAAGTTCCTACACTGGCTGTGAGTGGCCTGAGGGAAGCAGGCCTACTAGAGAATGAGCCAGACAGTTGGCAAAGCCTCTGCTTCCGTCTCAGCTGTCGTTGGTAGTCTGGCCATGTGGCTGAGACACTGCTTCCTGTGTCCAAACACTGGAAAAAAAACCTTAAATCTCATGTGCTCTAATCCTATTTGTTGGAATTCAAATAAAGCATTTTCATTATGTGTTTAAAGGCATCTGTGTGTCGCACCCCTCATTTGCTCTTGTTTTGTCCCTTGCAGCCACTGTGAATGCTGGGAATGTCTCCTGTGCTGAGAATTTAGAGTTTGATGTGTCGCCCCCTTCTGGTCACAAATGTAACTGCAGTGCATTCAGGAGACAGAGGTACTGCAGCTCAGGTGAGGCCTGCACACTCTGCTTCCCCATTTTAATAATGTTTCATAGGTTCTGCAGCAGTGTGGCACATTGCCACGCACACTGATCAATGGCTTTGGCCTGTTTGGATCACACACACCTGTTGTCCTGCTGCAGCTGTTTGCCAGCAGCAGCACTGATGCAAAACTAATATTGATGCCAATCTGGTATTAGCAAGAAAGCCAATTTATTTCTCTTCTGCAGAGCAAATGAAAAGTCATTTATCTCATAACACACCTGTGAAAGTTGAGATTGTTCTCTCCCTTTTCTTCCATTTAAAGTCTAATGTACAAGTAGTGAGAAAAGTAGGACGTTTACTTTATAGGTTCAGGTAGTGTTTCTGAATATGATTTACTCCAAAAGAATAGAGTCCAGACCCTGTGTTGTAAGCAAGGATGTCATGTCCACTGGGGATGTGGGGACATGTCCTCTTCACTTTTACTGTTTCAGATTAATTTACTCACATTTTATTAAATCTCTCTAAACAGCACCTTCTGACTGCCCAGCTGTGGAAATCCAGAGAAGAGAAAAGAGGAGGTGATGCAAAATGCTGGTATGCCCATCTGAGTTGCCTTCAGTTATTGTAGTGCATTGGTGGACTTCGTTTTGCCCTGGGTTTCCCCTGTCAGGCTTCGCACAGGCCACTGCCCGACCCTCTGATAGACATGGGATGTTCCTGTAGACACTAATCAGGGCTGGAAATTATATATTTTTTTCTGGAATAAAGAAATCTCTCTATATATATATTTTTACACTCAGTATTTTGTAAAATGGGCTATAATTAAACTTAAATGCTAAATACTAATGATAAAGAACAGTGCTCTTTTTAGTAAAGATGGAAATACAAAATTTATCTATGAATAAGTGTCTGTCTCTCAATAAGAAAATAAATGTGATATTAAGTAAGATTAGTGCATTTATATCAATGCCGCTATTACTACTACTACTAGTACTACTAATAATAATAGTAATAATAATTATAATGGCACAGCAATTTGAACATTTGTATTTGCTGCTATTATTTGGAAAGCAAGAGAAATGTAATGATTTCAGTTGTGTTAATTTTAAACATATTCATTTTATTTATTTTAAATTTAATTCATTAAATTAAATTAAATTGCATTTTATTTTATTTTAGCTGAACTATGCCCATTCTCAAAATGTATACGAGTTATTCCTGTGGTCTAAGGCAGCGCAAAAATATTAGCAGACTCTCGAGAACAACAACTACAGCACTAAAACTTAAATTTGTGATGTTATTTACTATAAAGTCTGGAGCTGCTACATACACAATGAATTCGGAAAGATGTTATATGACACTGAGAGCACCCAGGGGACTGTTCTGAGTATTTACAGCCTGTTCTCACTTACAACTGGTCAAATACCGCTTTGTCAATGATCTTGGTGTCAGATACCAGTGCACAGAGACACCTTTCGCAGCAGTATGATACACACCAGACAGAGGCAGGTGGAGCATGGGAGCCTGCTGTTCATTTCCTGTGTGAAAGTAAAGTCAATGAAGTTATTTTAATAATAACAAAGTGTGCTAGCATGTGTAGCATGCCATAGTGGCATATGTCATATGACATTACATGATGGCAGTAACAACCATTCTTATTTTAAGCCAAGCCATGATGTTTTATCCTAAACCTAACCATGTGCTTTTGTTGCGCAAACCTAAGGAAATAACATACATTCTCAGTTTATTTTGAAAAAGACTGTATGCACATAACGCACAGACACTGCACACTTCCTGAGAAAACAAAAGTGTATTTTGAAGAGTGTAACAAGCATAAATTGACACGCCATTCCTAAACATCCAAAACTGAGTTTACAAAGTGTATCATATTTTGTCATCGGTCCACTGTAGAACAAACAACAGAATACAGCTCATTTGTGTATAAAAAAAAAAAAAAAAAAAGAAAACATTGTGTGGATCCACAAAATCAGTCTCCCATTCATTGTCTATGGAGCAGCTCCAGACTTTATCTTTGATGAAGTTTGAGCCTTCTGTCTCTGGTTTCTGGCTTTGAAAGAGAGGAGCTCATGTTCACAAATATTGATTGAACTTCCGGCCATGGAGATAACATATTGAAATTCTTAATTTAGGTGGTGGTCCCCTTTAAGTTGTTGGGACCGAAGATAAAATCCTGTACAGCTATAAAGTATAATTATAATAAAGTGATGGAAAAATGAGGCACACAGTGGGTGGAAGGCATCCTCTGCAGTAAATCCAGTCTCAACACAAGGTGATGATCCACTGAAAAGAGGCCTGCAGTCTTTCATTCTGAGACCTGGTCTGCAGTTTATGAAGGTGTAATGTAAGCAGTAAAATGAGCTGAACGTGATGTGTTATTAAGATCACCAAGATTTTACTGCTTGGAGCTGTAAATTTAACACTGGTGTCAGTGGGGTAGTGCAAGCAAAGAACACTGTGTTCTATAACGAGAGGTGAGAATATGACTACAAGATCACTGGTATGAATCATCACACTGATCATAATGACTGCTGCTTTCACTCGAAATATTGTAACATCACTGTTATTCACAATAAAATTATTAAGGCATGAGCTCCAGTCCTCTGTAAGGATGAAGAAGTGAATATTATTTCTTTCATGTCAACAAATCCCATAAAAAAGATCAAACTGAATAATGCAGCCTTCTGTCAGTACTTTCTTAATATAATTTTAATTTTAAAGCTAGAATTAAGTGTTGCATTTGAATGCCTCTGCGCACCAGTCAAGTTGCAGTTACAGTTTACATCAGTGTCTGTGAAAACATGGATGCTTCACACACATCTTCCACCCAGCAGCACAGAAGATCTATACATTCAGCACAGTTTCAAGATGGACACACGAGATTAGAGTCACCAATTCAGCATCTCACCAAATATAACCTCTTCTGTTCCTGAGTTATAACATTGAAAAAGTATTTTTGCAGAACATAATGATGTCACAGTGAAGATTACCCTTGACCTTTTGGATATAGAATGTCATCACTTCATCATTTTATCCCATCAGGCATTCTTGTGCACTTTTGCATAGTATAATTAGTGTGTGCATTCTTGAGTTTTGGCCAGAACATATTTAGTGAGGTCACAGTGACCTTGACCTTTTTAACTTCTACTGCCAAATTCTAGTCAGCTTATTGTTAAGTCCAAGTGGATGTTTGTGACAAACTTGAGGAAATTACCTTAAGACGTTCTTGAGATATTATGTTCACGAGAATGAGATATTATGTTCACAAGAATGAGACAAATGCAAGGTCACTGTGACCTTAACCTGTGACCTATGACCACCAAAATCTGGTCAGTTCATCATTGAGTTGAAGTGCACAGTTGTGCCAAATTTGAAAACATTTCCTCAAGGCATTCTTGAGATATCTCATTCATGAGAATGGGAAGGATGGACAGATGGATGGATGTAAGTGTATACAGACGGACAATACAAAAACATAATGCCTCTGGCCACATCTAGCACCAGTGTAGAGGCAAAGAAAGGCTGAGTAATTCCCTAAAACAGCTGGGTATTGCCGTTTTCCAAATTCTAAAATGGGCATTAATTGTACATTTGTTTGGGGACTATTTTCTGCCGTGTATTAATACAAATGTAATACCCTAGTGCAGTGATTCCCTCCCAGTGGTATGTGCATCCCAGGAGTCCATGATTACTATGATCACAGATGATACATGCTTCATATTTACATGGATAAACTAGTATTAATAGCGCCATATTTACTAACATTACACATTAGAAGCACTTAGCGCTGTTGGCTTTCTGTCTAACCAGCAAATTGCATTCACCATTTGCCCCAGAAAATGTAAATCAGCAACCAGCGGGCTTCTGAGTCATAGAGGAGCATTACTAAAGATAATCAGTGTCTAGGTCAGCGACACTCACGCTTCTGATTGGTTGTCACAGTTTGATCTGTACGGTGTATCTGATACCAGTCTGGACAGGTCATAATTCAGACCTGACCAGCACGTGAACAAGAACTGTAACTAAGACGTGACATACCACACCTTCAGTGGTTGTATTTGGATTCATATTATGAGCAAGCAGAGGGTGACAATACGTGTGAGAACAGGAAATGGAATTGGCTTTACTGTCAAGAAACATCACCAGTGCAAGCTGAGATCACTGTTCTTATGGTCTCCATGCAGCCACTCTATCAGGATGTGTACGTAAGTTCAAAGTAGGGTCACAATACCTGTGGTATGTTATAGATATTGTTGCCCGCTCAGCCAAGCGGGAAACATACAACCCTTTTTGTGTAAGCGGGGAAGATAGAACCTTTTTTGCAGGGTTAAGTGGGGAACATAGAACCCAGGAAACATAGAACCCTGGAAACATAGGGATGACCCCGTAAAGCCTGCTATGTAATCGGGGACCCTTCACATGATCTGCTTTAATATCTCACTGTTCCTGAACACCTCTATCACAGCTGCCCTGCATCTTGGTTTACTGCCAGTCTAGGTCAGTGGTTGGAATTGGTGGATCCAATGCGCTGTCCTGTCTTTCGTGAGGGTAAGTAGATATGGACACATTAGCATTATACCTTAATTCTGACCAAGTACAACTGACAATTAAGAGAAGAGCCATGAAAACATCTACGAACAACATTTGCAAGTTTACCTTAAGTGCCGACAGAGCATTTTCCAACTTCACTTAAATCTTTGAATTTTGAATCCTAAACTCTGTCTCCTATAAATTACATTCATGCTCTACTAATTGGTTTTTCCCAATTACATTTTGGAAGGAAAGTAATTGCTCCCTGGTTACTGTTCCCTTCATTATAGATGTTATAGATATTGTTGCATATGTAAGGCATACATTTGTAATTTCTTGGAGACAGGATTAATGTCAGGGGTGGAGAGATGATTAACAGGATAGAAAAGAAGAAAAAACACGTTTAAAATTATTTTGTGATGTAAAATTGATTTATTTTATCCAGACATCTGTTTCTCTAATCTTTATTTCAGATTTTTCCCAGATAGATTGACCTCTTAAAGCCTCATAATTAACAGTCCAGAAGTTTTGCAGCTCACAACTCAGGCCTACACATCATGCAATGGAGTGATTGAAAGTAGACATTGCTTCTTTTTAAAGGGTCAGAAGAAATATTGCATGCTGCAGTCTGGGTAACAGGTGTGTAGAGGGTAAAATCAAGAAAAGCATTGTGATAAACTCGACGCAAGGGTCACAAGCTTAAACAGCCTGTTCCAAATCCCAGGTTGTCAAATGACTTTTAGTCGGATCTAGTGTAAACTCATCTGCAGCAACACTTGACGCTGAGAGCAACTGACGTATGAAGAGCGAGAAAATCCACATAGGGCAGGAGGAAGGGAAGGTGGATGGGTCAAACAAAGCCATACTTAACCCTAACCCTGAAACCAAAAATCAATATTGTTTATTAAACGTATTGTTATTATGTACACTGTCACATTACAGCAACACATTCGCACTCTCACCTCATCACGTATCTGCGTTTGGTCATAGACTTTCCATGTCCAGATACAACATGAAAGGTACCCTGGGTGTGTTGG